AAAAAAAAAAAAAAAAACACATCATAGTAAAACCAATACCTTCTCAGCTTCGCATCGAAGCTAAAATAACAAAAATCATTTCATAATGAGTCCTTTGTTGGGGAGAATAGGAGATATTTTTGACAAATTAAATGAACGAACTCTATCACGTTATGATCTATCTACCTACACTTGGATACTTAAAACTATATATTCATTTTCTAATAGAATAATAGGATTTATAAATTATGAAACTGAGTTATATTGTGAATATGCATCTTATAATGAGAACTATTTATGGGATGAATGGATTCAAGAATATAATGCCATTATAAAACATGACGAAAAATTAGTATTTTTAAAGTTTTTAACCAGAAAATGTAATGATTATATCAAAACTATAATTATAGAATATTATTTTCAACTGGGATTTAAATATGATCCAATTACTGAAGAAACATTTTTACCATCACTAAATGTGTTAATTATACAAGGTATTAAAAATAAAAAAAAAAACCAACACAGGGGGGTCGCGGCACAGTGGTGACGTAGCATAGTTGAATTAAGTATAATGATATCTGATAGTGATTAAAATCACTATAAAAAAAACGCTTTGATGCAAATCATTAGAAAATTTTTGTTTTCATAATAAAGTACATTACATTAGCTTTAATTTAAGATATATATAAAAGTGTTAGACTTTCCGGATCACTTTCAAAAGTTAAGTTGAAAAAGTAATTATTTTGTGAAGAAGTTGTCATTTTGAATCTCCCCTGTAGGCAGGTAAAGAGTCAGATTTATAAAAAAAATATACCAAATGATAGTTAAAGACATCATGCATCCATAAAAAAAAGAATTATATTGATCCATACATCTTTCTAAAAGTTTCTTTCCGAAACACTTTCAAAAGTTAAGTTGAAAAAGTTCTACTTCTATATGCATTTATTAGATTTGAATCCCCTTCTTATATAGGAAAATGGTCCGATTTAAAAAAACAATATGTCGAATGAAAGATGTATAAAAATACTACTTCTCATGAAAAAATTATTGATACATACATTTTTCAAAAAATTATAGCATAATATATAATAATTAATAAAATTAAAAATGTAAAATACAAAATCGAGAATTTTCAGACAAAAATAGCATTCGGTAGTCATTTTACGGGGAACGAGGGAAATTTTTTCAATTTTTGAGGGTAATGTCTTCGATTAGATACGATTTGTGATCTTTTGACGTATCGTTGTAAGAAATCCGTTCGGTGAGAGCTGAGAAAAGTGGTAACAGACACAAAAAAAAAACACATCATAGTAAAACTAATACCTTTTCAGCTTCGCTAGAAGCTAAAATTATTAATTAAAATATCATTTCATATTCTTATAATTTTTTTTGTAAATATAGAATTGGAACTTAAAGCAATCGATGAAGAACCTACAACGCTAATTCAAATAGAAAATCATTAAATGTTGTAATAAAATTAATTTTTTTCTACATTATTGTTATATATTTGTTATACATTATTGTTAAGCATAATTTACTTTATTACTTAGTAATTTTATAAATTATTATTAAAATTAAATGTGAATTGTGTATCATACAATTATTTATTGGTTGTACACACAGAAAATATAATTATAGTATTAATATTAACAATAATAAAAATTTTAAATAGAATATTTCTGAATATCAATATGGTATACTATACTATAGAATGAACTATATAGAATATAGTGTAAATATATTGCAATTGTAGTATTTATTTAACATCAAAAGTATCATAGAAAAGATCAGTGTTTTTAAAAAGAAGTTATAGCAATTTTCAAAATCCAATAATATTTTTTGATAATGCCGTTTTTTACAGTAGCGTAATGTTAAGATATTTGTCTACATTTCTCAAATAAAGGTTATTTTTCCAATATTTGGTTAATATATAAGTTTAATTAGATTAAAATTGGGTTCTTTTGACGATTGATCATTAAAATCGTTCCAAATTGAAATTTTTATGGACAGACATAAAAAAAACGCACACCATCACAATACCTTCTTAGCTTCGTATCAAAATCTACTAAATTGAGATTATTATAAAAATTAATTATAATTCAAAAAATCCATTGTAAAATTTAGGTGAAATGCAAAATAATTTTTGTTAGAAATAATTTATTCTGTATAATGTTACTTAAAAATTTAGAATACTATAGACTGGTAGTGTACCACACAAATAGAGTCAAGAAATAACAATGGCCACCTTTTGTAAGGTATTTTAAAATAAAAATGTTTTTAGTACATTTTCTATAAAGTATAAGATGAATTAGTTGTATTATTAAATGACTGTGAGCGTTGTGAAAAAATTCCAGTTTTTTATGACGAATAGTTGTGTTATATGCACTTTGCACGTAACCCGTTCTCATTGCAGTTTTAACGGCTGCTGATTTTGTTTTTTGAACTAATATGTGGCGGTTATCGTAAGACATGTTATCTTTAACCATGGCGATCACTGTGGATGCTCATAGAAATAGGACTGTGCTCAAATGGGTAATAAACAGTGCGAATCTGGCGTGACTAAATCCAGCTGAAACGGAAAATACAATCGACAAAGGTCAGAAGAGTATTATGATATCTCGATTTCAGTTAGTGGGCGACTCGTCTGGGTCCGTCACTGGGCTTCTAGTAATGCCCAACGTAGCCGTAGGTGTTCCATTCACGTTGGGCAAAATCGAATTAATTGAAGGGGTCAACAATTAGTTCCCTCAAATTGCACCATATCCACATTGGGATGCGTACCATAGCAACCCCTTGGAATCTTTCGTCGTCAACGTGATTGGTGTGTACATGGATTTCAAGGGTGTATTATGTGCTCTGGATGTTGGTAACGTCAAGACCAAAAAGTGTCGCACGGCCCAAATTTTTTGCTACAGACGTAAAAACTAATCAGGTAAAAACAAATTTTATGTATCTATATGACGTTCCTGTTAACATTTGTATAAACTGTTCATAACTTATGTGTGTATAAAACGATATTTTATACTATAATTTATTTCTGTGGAATTATGATATGAAATTAATTCATTAGTCGTTTGGATGTAGATCATGAGGGTTGTAAGCATGGCTATCATAATGCACGAAAATTGCTATTATCAGTACATTGTAGCTTTGTACAGGAATTCAAGTGATCTTTTGGTGTTTATAAGTGACCCTGGTACTCGTGAGTACCAGAGGTCATTCTGTCAACGGATATATATCTGCCGGGTAATCGAGACATTCTATACATGTCGCCTCTCTTGTTGCTCCAAGGAATCAGACTATTACTCACTTATGGATGGAACATGTACAAAGTTCACGTATTATTGGTGGACATGACGTCAACATACGGCTGTGTTGAGTTTGGTCGGAGAAAAGCCATGTGACATGATACTCTTGGGCACAGATCGGAGTAGTGTCATGTTTTTTCGGATGGAAAACACCAACGCCGTGTGGTCATGGGATGGTAATTCAGTTCTCGATGCAGACAACTTTAAGCTAGTACACTTGGGAAGAACGTGTCGAGTACGATTAGCTGTATCCAGTTCCCGGGGTCTTATTTGGGTGATGGAAACTAATTTTATTGATCAATATGAAAGTACCGGTGATAAGATGGGCAATAACGCCAAGTTAGAGCCGCTTGAGCCTCCTCTAAGAATTCAACCCGGGCACAGGGATCGTCGATACGCATGCCGTAGTTTTTAATAGCAAATATTTTTATAAGTGTATGTGTTGCCTAATTACTCAAAAATCGGTTCAAAAATCAATAACAATTTTCTAACTAAATTTAATTGAAAGTCGAATATTGTACCACTGTCTAAATGATAATTGTCATTATGTGATATAAATTTGATATTAGCTAATTAATTATAACTGAAAGTTTTCCTGGCACAAAATTAATCAAAAGGTTAAAATTTATTTAAATTTTACAAACAACTATTTCAAAAATGAATTTTATATTAATTTTCATGATTGTCATATGTAATGGTGAACACAGATTTTTAGTAAAGTAAGTATTACTATCAGAATAGTTTTTATTTGAAGAGTAAGTTAAATATACATAATATCAATGAATAAAAAATAATTGAATATTATTTACTGTGAGAATCGATTAAATTTTGTAGTCAACATACACCCAAAGAAAAACCTCAATCAATTTTGATAGAGAAACTTTATCAAGGGTTTATGATAATGTTTTATTAATACGAACAAAATAATTATTCTTATAAATAATTATTGTTCAAGACAAGAAAAAAAATTATCATATTGATAAATATATCATAACTATTGAACCTATGATATATTTATCAAATTGAACAATGAATTTATTATATAGATCGAGGTTTTTCTCTGGGTGTATCTATTAAATCTTTTTTTTTATATTTTGATATTCACATTAAATTTTAATTTTATTCTTAATAGAACAATTTAATTAATTCATTATAACGACGATTTTGTGTAATAGTCTTCAAAATTGTACAGTGTTCAATTTTTAAAAATATTACTTGCAAACCTAACTACAGTATCTCATCGAGAGTTTATAGCTGTGCTTTCGTAGACTGTGTAAAAAGAAAAAAAAATTCTTCAACTATGTTTTCGTTATAATAAATGAAGACGGATATTTATCGATCCACTGGAAAAAATACAATATCGAAATGACTGATAGGCGATTTATGAGTGATGTTAATGGAAAACGCCGCCAATGCTTTTGTTTCGGTCGGTGAGCTTTTCGAACGAACTCGCTTTTGTATCTTGTTTTGTGTATTATTGCTTTTGTTATTGTTGTTACGGCCAATGACTGACAGTTTGCGCCGTAAACGAGGCCGCTCACGTCCGACGAATGTATTATGATGGATGGAAGTGTTTATCTTAGTGGAGTCCATTACAATACGAATGGAGATGATGTTGTGTCGGTTTTAGTCTCGCAACGATCCTATTACCGGCCGGACACGCTTAAGCTGCTCGTGTTATCGTAGCCCACCCCTCGTGAGCAATTCTCGTGCGAGTTACACGGGCTTCGTTCACGTTTACCGTGTACGTCACGTACGGCGCTCGCTGATCGTCTGCGCCTGTTTATTATATCGCCTGATACGTGCAACGGCGGCCGGTGTAGTCGATAACAACACATCGGCATTACGTAATGCTGTTCTAACGAGCATAACGATCGGGTTGACAACAGTTATGACGAGAAAACACTTGTTCACCAAGTGTTTTTTCTATCCGCGAGAATGCAAACAAATCGTCATTACCGCCGAACTCGAATTTAACAATTGTGTTGTCCCACCGCCAATATTTACCTAAGGTCCATTATAAACGCTACCGGTTGTGAACAACTGATACTACAATACAAATGTCAACTAACACATGTCGTGTTTATTATTTCCTGCATAATTTGGCTTAAATAAATATTGTAATTTACACACATCGGAACGCACTGATATTTGAACGGACTGACTTTTATTAAAAAAAAACTCCAAGGTCGAAAATAAGTTTAACGTGAAATCAGATATCATTTGTAAATCAATAAAATAATACATTTTAAAATATTTATTTATTATAATGAATTATAATTATTATTAACTTGTGCGGTCGCCATTATGGAAATAACAATTACATAACTAAACAATTAACCATAGTTGGAATCCAGCGTAGTGGATTTGAGGTGTTCTTTTAGATTAGTATTGACTGATATCTGACAGCGATCAAAATCGTGTCGTAAAACGCGCTATTCATTCATTTTAAAAAGCGTATCGTTTTATTTAAAAAAGTATACACGAAACAAGCCGTTGAAATGATCAATGGAGTATTTTCCTTGCTTTAAAATAAAAATACATTAGTATATCTAATATCTCAAAAATTTAAAATCAGTATAATAAATCGAGGTGTGCTATGGCGTAGTGAATAATTCTGTCACCGCTGTTAGCGTTGATGTTCAGCTGCGCGGCTCACTATTAGTTCCCGGATGGGTGACCATATAGGAACCTAAACGGTGACACGCACCTTGCTCCCTTACTGATCTGACACGGTCGACAGCTGGTGTAGAAAACCTGTCAAATTAATAGGATAGAAAGCCTTTGGACCAAGCTCTACTTTATAGTTGGCTTAGAAAATAATAATGAAACCTAAAACACAGTTGCCGGGGATTGACAGGCGGTCATAAAAAGTGTCTTACCACTAAGTCACCGCGCACTTGATCCAAATTCACTTCCACACAGATTGATAACATGATGTGAGGTCGACGGAATCATTGTTCCGTGTCAGTTAGTATAGCAAATTTATTTTACTAATCTATAAAAATTATTAACAAGTTAAATCAATCAAAAGTATAATTATAAAACTGTGGAATGTCAAAAAAAAAAAAAACGTATAACTTTGTTTATAGACTTAAAATACGATTTTTTTCTCATTTTTAAAACTGGTTTCAAAACCACATCAGCAGAAATTTTTCATTTGGTTCACAAACCAATGAGTATCAAAAATAGTATAAATATCATATTTTTATTTACATTTAGAATTTATTTAATTAAACTGTACGCCAATTTTTTGTGTCACATTTAAAAAGATTATGTGAAAACAATTCTATTTAAAGGTAATTATTATAATACCACATATGTTTTATCATAAATGTTAATTTTGTAGTTTTTAAATACAAAACACAATAAATACGTGTCTTTATACATTTAGTCGAATTGTATTTCGTTTAAAAAGTTTCAATCATAATAATTAATTATCTTCCATATGTTTTCATTAAAACTTGTCAAGTTTAGTGTTTTTTTATCTTATGTGATTTTATATACAAAAGCACAAAGAGCTACAAATAAACAAATAGATCAGTTAGATAAGTTATTATTGTATTCGGGATGGAAAAATTTAAATGTTGTGAAATTTGTAAAATATAATTGTAATAAATATCACCTTGAAAATCTAATTAAAACACCTACACATCGATCTCTATGTATGAAAAAGGTGCGAGCTTTGACTGTACATCTTGGATGCACATATGCTAAAGTTATAAATAATCTTTTTTCAAGTATTATTAATGGCCTATCGATTTGTACGAAAAATAAAAAAAGAATTTACATTTGTACGGAAGGATTCATAAAAATAATAACTCTATTTATTGTTCCATTAGCAACATTGATGAAAGGTGCATTGGATGCTTTAGATTCAATACATAGTTTACCATGGGCTTATTTTAAAAAAAATTACTACAATCACTACATAATGAGTCCTTTGCTGGAGAGAATAGGAGATATTCTTGACAAATTAAACGAACGAACTCTATCACGTTATGATTTATCTACCTATTATTGGGCATTTGACACTATATATTCATTTTCTAAAAGCATAATAAAAGATTTAAAAAACGAAACTGATTCATATTGTGAATTTGTACCTTATAATCAGTATTATTTATGGAATCAATGGGCTCTAGATTATAGAGCCATTTATCAACAGGGTGATAAATTAAAATTTTTTAAGTTCATCACCCGAAAATTTAAAGATTATATCAAGTCAGTAATTATAGAAAATTATTTTCAACTAGGATTTAAATTTGATCCAATTACTGAAGAAACATTTGTACCAACACCCGAGGATCTAATTATACAAGGTATTTAAAATAAAATAAATATTAATTAAAATATCATTTCATATTCTTATAATTTTTGTTATAAATATAGAATTGGAACTTAAAGCAACAGAGGAAGAACCTCCAACGCTATTAGAAATAGAAACTCATTAAATGTTGTAATAAAATACATTTTTTTCTACATTATTGTTATATAATTAATCACAATTTACTTTATTACTTAGTAATTCTATAAATTATTATTAAAATATAAACATGAATTGTATATCCTACAATTATTTTTTGGTTGTACACACAAAGAGTGTAATATAATATTGATATTAACAATTATAAAAACTCAGCACAGGGGAGTCGCGGACCAGTGGTGACAGGGTATAGTTGGGTTAACTATAATGATATCTGAATGTGATTAAAATCACTGTCATAAAAAATATATTTAACATATTAAACAACGAATAAGCAACAATCAATCGCGTTCGAACCATTGTATAAATATATTGTGTTACGACTTATAAGTGATTTTACCTTAATACAATTAATGTATCAATTATAAATAATTGTATTTCTAAATTTAAGAACCGTTATAAATATATATATTGTTCCGTAATCTTTTGTTTTCATTTCACATTACAACTACATCCACTCCAAACACGTTACCGTGTCTCATTCTAGGTGGGACACAACATGTTTAAAAAACTAAAAAAACACGCTTTTAAAGTACATCGAACTAAAAAGCTAAAAATAATTTTTAAAATAAGCTTAAAACAATAATACTAGTATTTTGCTTTTATTATTGTTTTAAAAATTATTTTTAACTTTTTAGTTCAATATACTTTAAAAGCGTGTTTTTTAAACAATATTTATTTTTAACTTTTTAGTTTCATGTTATGATAGTAGTTACTATCAATATCATGGTTGTAACGGGTAACGGGAAATCAGGGTTCGATTCCGGGGAGGGAGTCTGAGAAACGGCTACCTCATCCAAGGAAAGCAGCAGGCGCGTAAATTACCCATTCCCGGAACATGGAGGTAGTGACGGAAAATGACGATACGGGAATCATCCCCTGTAGTCGGAATGAATACACTTTATATATCTTAATGAGAATAAAGCGTGTTAATATATATTTTTAATAGTAATTAGAATATATATATATATATATATACATGTAAAGCGACTTACGTACGTAAAAGTATCATGCACGAAGTATAGCTGTGTTTTGTGGGCGGGCGGGGCGAGGGGTNTTTACAAACAACAAACATACAACATACAAGTGAAACTAATATAAGCGTGTTAAAAATTTGTGGTTTATTCTAAAAGCTACATGATCTTTTTCCTTATTTATATCCTGAATTTAAGTGTTATGATTTATAAGTTTAATATATGTGTATATAAAGGGAAATGGTGTTATTTAAAAAAAAAAAGTATGTTGAATGAAAGATGTATATAAATTAGAGCGCTGCATGGTTCGGTTTGAACCGGTCCGGACTGAACCAGACTAGACCACGGTTCGGTCCGGTTCAGTCTTCTACTTCAAATAATAAATTAGTCCGGTCCTAGTTGGTCTGTAGTTAAAAATTATCGGTCCTTTTTTTTTACGGTCCCTTAAAAAGTTCATCGGTCCAGTTCTGGTCTTTAAAAGAATTCAAGGATCCGGTCTCGGTCCATCTTCAAATTGAGATAATAGTCCACTTTTAATAGCAGTATAGTATTATAAATATATTTGTATTATTGTTTTTAGTAGAAACTCGCG